GTGATGCCAGGGTACTATACTGAGGGCTACAAAGTGAAACTCTGTCTAAAAAACAAAAAAAGGAAGGAAATAAATAGCACCCTTTTAACTTACTAAAAAAGATGAGTAGAAAGAAATTAGGCTTTCATCAAAAAGACAAAGATTCAGTTGTAAAATTCTTAGGATGTGACACAGAGGCAGAGTTATTCACTAACTCTGAGTCAATTATTTTCCAGTTTTAAACATGTAAAATAATACCTTAACTTAGAAGACTGTTGCATCAATTAAATACACACAGAGCCTGGCACTTAGTAGGTGTTAATACTTGGTAGATATTATTCATTCATTCAATAAATGTCATGCACCAAAGGGTAATATGTGCATTTTCTATAACATTAATTATTGATATACTTAAAAAATGACATGGTTTCTGCTACATGTCATTTGTCTTTCAACCCTAAGCAACTTGTACTTGAGATGCTTTTCTACTTTTATGCTTTGTGCAATCACTACTTGTATATACGTAATTTTTATGAGGTTTTCTTTAACCTTGCTTTTACTGGTTTCTTTCACCTTTGTTTGACATAAAATTGGGCTATACCTGTAATACACATTGGCTATGTCATTCACTTTAGATTAAAAAAAACTGTTACCGTTACACAATCATTTCTGCAACTGGATAATACGCCCTGTTTAATTAAGCACAGTAGCAGACAGATGTTTTTATTTCTTCTGTTCCTCACAATGGTTAACTTATTGCTGTAGATGTTGTAACACTTTATCTTTTAAATTATTTTTTACTAAATCATTAACTTTGTACATTGATGCATTTATGAAGTTCAGGGTACTGCTTGGACATACAATGTGAAATGCTTACATTGAACTAAGCAACACATCCGTCACAATTATACTCATTTCTTAATATTTTGAAATGTACCATTGCATCATGCACATTAGGTGAGGTCCCCCCAAATACCCTCCCTCCTTTCATATTCCCCCTCCCCTCCCCTCTTTCTCCTCTGCCCTTTGTAACACTTAATTTAGAAAGAGAAATCTACCAGAGACCTACTATCCTAATACATCCTTGAAGAAATACCTGAGTAAATAAATCAAAATCCATTTTATCAAGGGTAGCTAATTAGAAATCTTGGTTATTAACAAGTTTAATGAATTAAAAGGTGGTCTGAGGTTTCTCTTCATTAAAAGTAAACCCATTTCTTACTGACACAGATCCAGTCAATAACATCTATTCATCATTTTTCAGACGGTACCCAATTGCTCTTTTGTGATACCGCCAGAATAATTTGCAACTATACAGATATTTTTGCTGGCAATGACATGTCAGGCTGTTAGATACTTAGAGTATCACACTGTTTAACACCCCAGTGTTTTAAGGTAGAGAAGAAAAAAAAAATCAACACATATTAATTATAATAGCAACAAACATTTTTCAGGAATGGAATTTTGTTGAGTAAAAAACATGTTGACAGGAAGCTTAAACACATACAGTATTTAGAACTAGATGAATGTTATCTGATTGCTATCAGATAGAACAATAAAACTAGTTCTTTTTTTCAGTAGATAAAAGAGCAAGAAATTGATACTTGCAACAAATAAAACGCTAAGCACAGAATTTTAAAAAGCACCATAATATGCAGAATATACATTAATGTTTTCAGTCTAAAGTTCTCTATGCCAAGGCTGAAATAGGAAACATGGAGAGCAGATTATTTCCATACAAAATAATTTAGAACACAATGAAATTTTCCAGTAAAATACATTTAAATGATTAAATATAATTCCACACATTTAATTTAATTACAGATTATTTTTTAAAGTTGAAATTTAAAGGAAATAGTAACTTAGTTATAAAGAAAATGTCCATTAAAATGTGTTGTAAAACTAAAGGATTAAAATTATAATGTAACAAAAAAGTACTTTATGGTGAAATCAACCCAATAAAAAGCATTAAGTTAAAATCGAATTTACCTCTTGAGAAATATTAAGTTGAAAATAATACAATTCATTAATCATAGCAAAATAAACTTCACAGGTTTTTTACGTGAAAATTTTATTTTTAATACAGCTGAGTTGATTAATACTGTTATAAAATTGAATTTCAAGAAACAATATTAAAATATGGTTACCATTAAGTAGCAGGAAAAGCATTCCAGCAGTTTGTTTTTATGAAATGCACGAGGTACAGCACCATTCCTTAAGTAGCGAGTTACTTTATAAAACTAAAGTTCCATTTCAGTAGAATTATTACTTTTACATCACAAATACAAGGACTAGATCAATACAACTGTGAGAATCAAGTTCACTGACAGTCATAGGGAACCCAAAGGGCAGACAGACAAGCTTTCCAAAAATTTCCACAAGGCAGGCAGACTAGGGGACACAGGAAAGACTGCTCTGCAGAATGGACCTAGTTTCATTTGGCACTACCTTCCTTTCGCAGGTTGGCTTGAGCAGACAAGTCAGTTAACTTTCCAAGAGTTAGTGTCTTCTGTGTCTGTCAAGTGCACTTAGACTTTTCCATTTTAAAACACCAAACTTTTACACCATCTATGTTAGGAACAACTAAAGGGATCTCTTTTACTTAAAAAAAAAAAAATAACAGCATAAAAATACATTGTTATTCTTCAATATACTATTTCCAGACCTTAATTCTCAAGTCTTTGAAGAATACCCAGTTAGGGTTGTATCAAGGGAAAGATCTAAATACTTTAATCATAATGTAACTCTCCTCAGATTATTCCTTCACCAGCTCCTCCCCATCCTGCTTTATTCTCTCTTCTGCTTGTTTTAAGGAGAAATGCCAGCAAACGGTTTTAGGCATTGTAAGTTTAAGGATCAAATCATTTTAAAAGATGCATTTTCAATCAAATGCACCATCTAAAACGAGTAAAAAAACTTGAGAATGAGAAATATACCAGAAGCCTATTATTTTTCGTTTGATTGCTTAAAAAATAAAACAGAAAGATGTATTCTAACCTATTCCCTTAGGAACATGAATGCATTACCCACCCAATGAAAAAACAATTCTGCTGGTTCATTTCCCTGGTACACAACAGCCTCGTTGTCAGGCCTTCCCTAGCCCAGTCTTCATCGTCACCTATTAATTTCCTATTGATTACCGGGGCAATGCTTCGACTCCAGCAGTCATGGTCCCTGTCTTTCTTACATTCTTAATAAATAAATAAATAAAACTCTATTCAACACCCACACCACAAAACAGAGATTCTGTGACTTACGATACCAATCCCACGTCTTCCCGCCCTGCGTTAGAGCTGCTACTAATATACACATGTCTATTTTTTCCTTGCATAAAACGGAAGGGAACCACACCAAAACCCTGTATTTGAATCTTAGGACAATGAAGCCCACAGGAAGCTACTCTCTCCTCTGCCGGGTTTACTCTGGAGCCAGAGCGGGGTGCAGTCGCTGGGCAGGGTGCGTGACACCATGTCTTCCGTGCCCTCCCAACGCGTCCAAAAGGCTCCTCGCCTGACCTCACCAACCGCCCCACACCCCAAAAACAATCACACAAAAGGGATCGGCGCTGGAAGCTGCTCCCATCGGAGGGGGAAAATCCCTTCTCCAGCGGCAGCGCAGCCATTCTTCCAATGCTCCACCCGCACTCCTCGCAAACTGCTACGGCGGAGTCGAGAGGGCTGCACAAAGCCAGGAGGGAACTGAAAATGATTCAATACACTTAGGGGAAGCGGAGGCGGCGGCAACGGGCCCAGGACCGCAGGAGTAGAGGGATGGCGGGTGGGGGATGGGAGGGGATGGGAGGGGATGGGAGGGGATGGGATGGGAGGGCCGGCCCCGCCAAGCCCCCAGGCCCGGGCGAGGGAGGGAGGTGGCGGCGCCGCGCGGAGCATCCGGGAAGCGCCCCCTTCGCCGCCCAGCCTTGCACCCCCGCCCCGCTGCCGGCCGCGCCTCGGGTCTCCGCCGCAAACCTAAGGAGGAAGAGGGGGACGTGGAAAAGCGGCGGCGGCGCCGGCATCGGCAGCGCCTACCCGGGCCAGCTGAGCGCATCACTTACCCCTCACCGTGGAGAGAGGGACCGGACGGAGGAGGCGGGGCGCGTCGCGTCCCGTGAGTCTCGCACGCCGTCCTTCCCCCACTCCGTTGTGCTCGTCGCCGCAGTCGTCGTCGGCGCTGCAGCTGCGGTCGAGCTCCGGGCCCCTGGACTCCGCTGGGCAATAACGTTATTCCACACACGCCCCACACATAGCGGTAACGGCAAAGAGCGGCTGCCTAGTGCGCAGGCGCCTAGGCGAAGGGCGAGGAGCCGGGCCCTCTCCCCTCCTCCTGCCCGGTCTCAATAATCTCTTACTGCGCAGGCGCCAGTCGCAGACAATGAAAAGGGGTTGTGCGGAGGGTCTCTCCCACACGCTTTGCCAGCTGTCCACTGCGCAGGCGTGCCCCTAAAGACCAGTTCGAACAATGAAGACCCCGGCTTTAGACGGGACCGCAGCCAGCAAGAACTACAGCTCCCAGCGGGCAGTGCGCCAACTCCCCGTGGAAGCGGGGCTGCTGGGCGTGCTAGCGGTTGTAGTGGCCGCCGCCTTGACACTCTAGGCTCTGGGGTAGATTTAGAGCTTCTTTTTCTTCAGGATTTATTTGACCGTTTTGACAAACTTAGGAACTAAAACGAGACCCAGACTTTATTATTTGCGTCTCTGAGTAGCTGCAGCGACCAACTACATATTCACAAGTCTCCAAGCTGTCAAGGCCTTCGCGGAGCCCTTTCCGTCAACTGGGTGGTCCACGCCTCAGAAGGATGGGATGGAGGCGGGGCTCAGCCAGCGGGGCCGGAGGAAAAGGGCGGAGCCTCCAGGCGTGTCTCTCGGCAACCGCCTCTGGCCGCCAAACCGCCGAAGCTGGCGCCGGGAGCGTGGTTACTTCTGGGAGTTGTAGTGTAGCTGGAAGGCTCTTTACGTTCTCGACCTGGCAGGCTCTGAACCCGTGGACTACAACTCCCGTCGTCCACCAGGAGGGCCAGTATGTGGGAAGCGTTCCCCTCCTCAGCTCGGTCCGGGGTTCCAAGCTCCCCAGTGACAGCGGCGACAGGAAGCAGGCGGGAGCTCCCCGGGTCTTAGGCCTGTTGTTTTTGGAAGGGAGGACGCTGGACGTTTCTCCACGTAACCCCCATCTCTGGCCCAGAGTCTGTGCATGGCGAAGTCTCCAGGGAACTCTACCCTGGAGCAGATTCTGGGGCAATACCAACGGAGTCTCCGGGGTGAGTTGCTCCGAACCTCTGTGCCCTAACCCCTGGGTACCCGGGGCCTGGAGGGCAGGGTCAGACAAGGTGCGTTTCCTAACACCTGGGTTTGGCCCCAACCAGGCTGCAGAGGAAGAAGATGGATGTTGCCGTGATCTTTCAGGAAAATGAAATAGTTTGTTTTTGTTTTTAAGGTTAAGCAGCGTTGTTTCCTTAGATCCCCTTAGTTACCTGAACCAACACCTGGATCTTAAGTCGGGCGCCTTTCTCAACCAGCACCAGCAGAGACTCTTGGATGGCTCTACGCCACTTTGCCAAGTTCCCATACTTTACTGTTTAATCCAAAAATTGCTAACTCACACTTTTTACACATTCAAATTATAGCTCACGTTCTTTCTACTACACCATAGGACCAGGAAAAAAAAGACACTAGTAATTATTTTAATCACAATTGCTTCTATTTATTACTCTAGACTACTTA